CCTAAGATAACCTTTTATTAATCAGTGAATTTATATAACTTTCGTCCAAAAGGACGGGTACTCCAGCTAGTATGTAATATTCTGAAGGGCGATGAACCATCATAGCATTTAGGAGTATTGAACGTATATATTCAGATATCCCATAACATATAATATTCTGAACAGTGATGAACCATCTTAGTGTCTAAAGGTTTGAACGTACATTTCCGATCTGGAGAACTGATTGCTGAACATGTTAACAAATTTGAATCGCAGTTTCCAGCTGTTTTTTTTTTTATGATTGTTAATCTGTAAGAGTTGTAATAATTGACCTTGTAGTCAATAATTGTTTCTTACATCTGCTGAGATAGGTCACTAGCCACTCTGAAGAAGAACATAATTACGTATACAGACAGCATTATAACAAGACAACAGTTTTTACATCAACAAAACAGGCATTGCATATTTTATCTTACGTATTCGCGTTTATCGTTTAAAAAAAAAAACCTATTAGTACGTTCATGATGTACTTTACTCACCACAAGTAAGCTAAATTAATATAAGTATTTGAAAGATATGCAACATTAACCACACAAATTATTTATTTAACGTTATTCAGCAAGATTGCGTTGGTCTGGTGTGGCTTGGGGGTTAAGGCGCTCGTCTTCTACTCAGCAGCTTGTGGGTTCAAATCACTGTCACCAACCAAACTCGTTCTTTAGGGGTTGATGTTAGGGCTAGCCACCCGAGTGTAAACATTATTGGCGAATACAAAATACCCGAGTGGCCGACCCCAATACTAAATTTTTGGTCTGTAGTATGATAAGAAATCATCCTTTGCATACCAGGATCAAATATAATGATCCAAAACTGTGAAATAAGGTAACACCTACGTTCAACTAAACGATCCCTACGTAACAGCCGCGATATACAGGCTTTAGTAATGTTAGATTTAAATGCCTTACGCCTATAGTTAAAATCTTTGAAAAAAAATAAAATTAATAAAGAGAGAGAGAGAGAGAGAATTTCCGTATCAAAATATATCCATTTATGTCATCACAGAATCGTCAGTAATTAACGTGAGTGAATTTAAACATTGCTGCCTTGTTCAAGATTCTTATACTTTTCATCGTTACATTTTAGACTTTAGTATCGTTATGTAACCAAGCGGTACGTATTGATATAAAATATGTTGTGTATTTTACTCATTCATTCATACGGCTAAGTTGAATATAGTTTTACTTGCTTGAAGCTTGTTTGTATTTTGAATTTCACACAAGGCTACTCGAGGCCTATCTGTGCTAGCCGTCTCTAATTTTGTAGTCATAGGCTGGAGCAGTGGTTCTCAAACAGTGCGCCCCAGAGCTTTTTCAGGTGCGCTCCGTAGCATTCCTGAAAAATCTATCCAGATATGA